CAGTGCGCCGCTTGGGAAGCGCAGCGGCGCTCCTGCCCAAGGGTTCGGATCCCACATACAGACCGGTTCCCGCTCACTGGCTGAGCGAGGTGCGGGAGCAACACCGAGGGTTGCGATCCCGTTGCCGGTCCCGGGCCGGTACGGGCGCGACACTGAGGGTTGCGATCCGTTGCCGGACACGGAAAAAGACAAAAAAAGAAAAAGAAAAAGATTTAAGGCAATTTTTTTTTCCTTTTTGTCTTTTTTACTGACCGGCAACAGATCGCAACCCTCAGTGTCGCGCCCGTACCGGCCGGGACCGGCAACGGGATCGCAACCCTCGGTGTTGCTCCCGCACCTCGCTCAGCCAGTGAGCGGGAACCGGTCTGTATGTGGGATCCGAACCCTTGGGCAGGAGCGCCGCTGCGCTTCCCAAGCGGCGCACTTATCCAGTGCGCCACCGGGCCGGCCCAGCCTTAAATCTTTTATAGGTATATATTTAGGTCTATAAACTGGTATAAAGTTTCCTCTTTTTCATTTCTATCTAAACAGATTGCACTTTTTTTATTTTTTATTTTTATTTTTTCCTTTTTTTTTTGTCTTTTTTTGTGTCCGGCAACGGATCACAACCCTCAGTGTCGCGCCCGTACCGGACCGGGACCGGCAACGGGATCGCAACCCTCGGTGTTGCTCCCACACCTCGCTCAGCCAGTGAGCGGGAACCGGTCTGTATGTGGGATCCGAACCCTCGGCAGGAGCGCCACCGCGCTCCCAAGTGGCACACTGTAGCACTGTGCCACCGGGCCGGCCCATGCACTTTTATTTTTATAGTTCTTCTTTAAGAAGGATTAAGGAGGGTATTTTAAAATTTTTGTTTTAATTATGAAATATTTCACACATAGCAGAGAATATATACAACACATGTGGCATGTCAGGAATAATAAAACAAACATCTCTGTAATACCCAATGCCTAATAATTCTTTGCTTGTTGAACAGAGATATTCTTGGTCTTTCTCTGACAAATCCATTTGGATTTTCTGTAACCAGAAGTCCTGGCCACTCTTACTGGCCAGTTCAAATCTTCGGGACCATTTGTGTGGTGGTAAAACAGCAAGTGGTAAGAGCAAAAACAGTTTCTGATCCTGGGAGCACGGAACATGTTCACCTGAATGTTTTTGCCCTTTGTTGAGGTAAAGACAGGAGGGCCTTCTGATCTGTGGGCTCCCAGTTTAGGACTCCCCCGATATTTAGCCCAGGAAGAGGAGCTATGAACAGGCCCCATCAGGACCAGAGACACGTGACCAGGTACACTCTCCTCCAACATTCCACTGGCTGGTGTGGACCAAGCATCCCAGGAAACCATACAAACTGGACTCTATTATATTGGCCCCTGCTCCTCTCTAGCCCAGAGATGAGCCAAGTCCTGTGTTTTTACCTCCAGCAATCCAAGCAGAGCCTGCAGCCTCGAATACACCCTCCATGTGCAGACATAGCCCAACATGAAACAACTATCCCATATACAACCAACAGTACTCTCAACCTCCCCCAATGAGACAAGCAAAATCCCATCTGATACTGTATTCAGCTTCAAATCCAGGATTTTGCTTCACCAGGAACAGATGTCTATCCTTGTAATCTTGAAACTTATATTTACATGGTAAATTTAATCTCTACCAATACACCCAATATACAATGGTAGAAGGGGAGAAAGTCACCACAATATAAACTTTAATTTAATTAAGGGAAAAATCAATATACATGGCCATAGGTCAAAAGCGCATACTTCATGTGGTAGGCAAAGACTGCAAGAAGTCACATTCTGGACAGTGCAGTGAATACTGTGGCCAGTCAAAGAGTTGCTTTGGTTATGTCTTTTGGACAGTGTCTCCCTTACTCACTGTTCTCTATGGCCAAGCCTGAGGAGGAATGATTTGGGGATGATTTTCTTCCTGGAGTTGCATTTAAGCACTTCCCTTTCTGTTGATGTCATTACTAACATCTGAAATTGCCTTAGTCTATGAGTGATCACAGCCCTTGATGGCCAGCTTTAGAGTTCTGTGATAAAACCACCCCATCTTAATTTTAATTTTTCAATTTCTCTGAAATTCATTACTTGAATAGTAATTGTATTAGTTTCCTACATTTGCTGTGCCAAATTATCACAAATTTAATGGCTTAAACGATATACATCGGGGCCGGCCCGGTGGCGCACTGGATAGTGCGCCGCTTGGGAAGCGCGGTGGCGCTCCCGTCCGAGGGTTCGGATCCCACATACAGACCGGCTCCCGCTCACTGGCTGAGCGAGGCGCGGGAGCAACGCCGAGGCTTGCGATCCCGTTGCCGGTCCCCGGTCCGGTACGGGGGCAACACTGAGGGTTGCGATCCGTTGCCGGACACGGAAAAAAGACAAAAGACAAAAAAAAAAAACAAAAAAAAAAAACCGATATACATCTATTCTCTTACCAGTCTGAAGATCAGAAGTCATTAAAATGGGGCCACAGATCTGCATATTGCTTCTGGAGGCTCCAGGGGAGAATGACATGTCAATTTCTTCTTTTCTTTTTTTTTTTTCTTGGTCCCACAGTTCATTTTACTTTATTTTATTTTATGTTGGTCAAATCAATATTATTAGCATATATATTATCACAAATTGTACTTATTCTTTATGCCTCTTATCCAATCTCTCCCCATCCCCCTCTACTTCCCCCTCCCACCTCTGATAACACTAGATTTCTTCTCTCCTCCTGAAAGAGTAACAAATTTGTTGATCTGCTGCCTAGATGATCTGTCCAGTGCTGAAGAGGTGTGTTCAGGTCCCCCACTATTATCGTAGAGCAGAAGCTTCTTCTGTCACTCTGGAATGGGCTTTATGGAGAGAGACACCCTCTTCTTTTCTTTGGTCTCTGCTGGTGATTCTCCTTGTGTCAATGCACTGGAGTGTCTGGTGGGCCATCTGCCTGGTGGTTGTAGCATCTAGCTGCTTTTGTGGTAGCTGTGGCTATTGTGGTGGCTGTCGTGAGCCACCCACACGGAAGTGGTGTTTTTGGCGTTCTCCTTGCCTGGTTGTGGGAGGAGGGGTAGGCTGGCTCCATCTGTTTTTACATGCTAAGATGTTGTTGTGGAGGAGCTGGGTGGGAGGGGGAGAGCAGAAGGGGGAAAGAAATAGGGCGGGAGAAGGAGGAAGGGGGAGTGTGGTTGAGGCCTGTGGCAGCCCCCTCATTCCTGCAGTGGAAACCAGGGGCTTCTAGTGGTGGTTTGGTCATTGCTGGGCTGAATGCAGATGTCAGGGGGTGTGGAAGAAGCCCTTGGCCCTCCACCATCCTGTCTCAAAAGCCCGGGATATTTCCTGCAGCGGCTCAGTGGTCATTGCTGGGCTGAGTGTGGGGACTGTGGCCGAGGCCCTTGGCCCCCCACTGTCCCGGTTTGGGGCCTAGGGCACTTCCTGCAGTGGCTTGGTGGTTGTCGATATTGGGGGGCATGACTGAGGGCTCCAGCCCTCTCCCATCCCTGGCTTGGGAGCTCTGGGAGCTTCTGGTCCTTCTAGGTTTTATAGGTGTTCTTAAGTGAAGGCCTCAACCTTTACTAGTTAATATCAAACTTTGTCTCTGGTCTGTGGGTATTTTGCTTTTTCTTTCAGTTCTTTGTTGGATTATTTGCTGTTCTTACTACTGAAACTCTGAAGTGGAACTAATTTGTTGTCCTTTGCTTACTTCTAAAATGGGGGAACTTCCTGTGGAGACCAGCACTTGAGCCCTGTGGTTGAGCTAAATTGCTGCTTTGTTGCTGATTCCCTGGGGAAGGCTTTTTGTGCAGCTCAGGTTTTAATATGACTTTGTAGGTACTTTTGGGTCTTGTAGGTGGTGCACCTGGGTTGTGTGGAAACTCTGGTCTGGATCTGAGTCTTTTCAGCAAACTGCTCCCCCTGCAGTTCTATATTCCTGACGAGTCTCCACAGAGTGGGCCTGTGCTGATTGGGAGGCAGATCAGCTGTCCTTGCTCTGCGCCAGTGTTCTCCCTATGGGCCCATCTCTCCCATCACCCATACTCCAATCACTTCCCATGGGATGGGCTGTGTGCCAGATTTGTGATGGCTTTTTTCAGTTGTTTGTGATTCCTCACTCCTATGTGGGTCCACAGCAACCATGTTAGTGGTCTTGCTGGCCTGAGGGCCACCAAGACCTTCTTCTCCCCCGCAGCCTCGAAGCAACTTCACAGGAAGGGCGCAGCTACAGTTTTGCCAGCTCCTGCTCCATGGCCTCACCAGCTCTAGGCTTGAAGTGGTCACGGCTCAAAATGGTGCAAGTGGTCATTTCTTTCTCTCATCATGGCTTCTCCTGCCATAGGTCTCTCCTCCTCTTCACCTGAGCTCTAGTGGCTCCAGCTTGGCTGTTGTTACATTTTAATAGTTGTAAATTGGCTGATTTGTGGGAGAGAGTGATGGTGGGGACTGTCTACTGCACCATCTTGACTGGAAGCCCCCACCTTTTGACAAGTCCCCGTCCACGCCGGAGCAGGGCGTGCAGCGCAGCTGCTCCTCGCAGTCCGGCCGGAGTGGTGGCAAAAACTCCAAGGTGAGTGGGTCCCTGCAGGAGACTCAGTGCCTCCCTGTTAGCTGGCTGCAGGGAAGCTGGTGTCAGGGGACAGGCGCAGCTGCTCCTCGCAGTCCGGCCGGAGTGGTGGCAAAAACTCCAAGGTGAGTGGGTCCCCGCAGGAGACTCAGTGCCTCCCTGTTAGCTGGCTGCAGGGAAGCTGGTGTCAGGGGACAGCGAGGTAGAGAACACCTTCCTCGAGGGACCTCACGTGATTGGACGGCCCTAGTGTTCCAGAGATAGTCTGCATTCAGTGAAGCGAGGGCAGGACAGACAGGGGCGACCCTAGCTAGCTGTCTTCTCAGCTAAGCACTCCGGGAAGGGTCATGAGCTAGTAAAATGATTCTCCAACCACCTTTCTGTCTCTTTAGAAAGTAGGGAGCCTCACAGTCCTTGAGACTTGAAGGAGGGTGCTCTGGGTCATCTGTTTGTCCCCACCACCTTTTTCAAATCTGGTCCCTAGAGCTGGGGTAGAAGGGAACAATATATGGGACGACAATAATGCCAGAGAGAGTCCTCAGGGAACCCTGCAGAGTGCTGTTTTTAAGCTCCTCCCTGGCCATCGTCCTGCCTTACCTGTACACTAACCTGCTTGGAACACATCTGGTAGAGAGGACAGCAACAGGGCCTTTCCACCCCTCCCAAGTAAGCCAGCACTAGTACCTGGGCCCTGGGGCCTTTGGCCCAAGCATATGCCCAGGGGAGCCCTGTGCTGGGCAAGGCCAGCTGGTCATGCTTCCCCAGAGGTGTCCTTGCCCCACCCTCAGTCCTCCGGGAAGCAGGAGATATCTTTGCCCAGATGCTCCTTCAAGAAGCTTCTCTTCACCAATGGACTCACGGGGCCTGAGAAGGGGTTGGGGACCCCTAGGGGGCACGGGAGCTGGCTTCCCACCTGAACTTGTCTTTTTGACTTCTTGTTCTTCCTCTTCTTCCCCCCCATTTCCCAAATACCTTCTTTGCATGCATGGTCTTAGTCTCACAAGCGCCTCTCAAAAGTAAGCCATCTTTTGTCTCTGTCTTTTATCTCCCTTCTAGTGTTGACTTGTCTGTAGTGCTCAGCATCCCTCCCTCTGCCCCTGCCGAGTCTGGCCCAATGTCCTGCTTGGTCTCTTTCCCAGAAGGGCCGGCCTCACTGTTCCCCTGGCAGGCTGGCTTGGAAGTCACTGAGGGACCATTCCCACTGCACCCAATGTCAGAGAACAGACCCCATCCCCCGATCCTCCCCTCCCCCCATGTTTCTGCCTGCTCCCCAAACACTGCCTTTGGCTGGGAATCTCTTTTACATGGTGCCATCTTACATGGTGCCATCTAGAAGCAGAGTCCTGCCAGGGGTTTGTTTCATTCCTTTGAGGGTGGGAGACTCCATTTGGTTATACCCCATCCCTGACACCCCATCCCTGATACCCCATCCCTGATATCCCTTTGGTGGGTAATTCTGGATTTCCTGGCAGTAGTGATTGGAGATCAGCAGGAAGAGTGGTGCTGATCAAGGGTCAGGAGTTCAGGTGGATAAATTCCTGGGTGCAGTAGCAGCGACCTCAGGAGCTCTACCTACATGCTCCCCGCTCCCCCAACAGCTACTCAGTCTGGATATTCCTTCCTCCCTCCACCTACCACTCAGCCTGAGGCTCATGGTGTTCTTAGGATCCTGGATTGTGAACAGAGTGGTGACCATTGACAGTAGCCCGTCCACGCCCTGAAGACATGAGCTCAGGTCAGGGACGCAGTGCTGGGGCCCCAGGATTCCCAAGGCCTGAGGAGAACTTGGGGCGGGGAGGGTGAGCGATAGGTGTGGTAGCACGGCAGCGCTAAGGACGTCATACCTGTGGGGAGAGGAGGTGGGCTGCAGCCTGCAGAAGAGAAAGCTGATGGATGACTTAATAATAGTCCCAATTCTTGGAAGTGTTTTGGGGAGGAGGAGGGTGAACAGCTGTTCTCTTTCCTGAAGGGAGAACAAGAGGCCACATGGCTAATCCTGTAGTCTGTGACCTTTAGACTAAAAGTGCATTGTGGCTCTGAGGGTTTTAAATGGCTGTAGCTGGCTGTGGGCAGGGGAGGAGGTGCTGGGCCTGGTATGAGGTGCCAGCAGGAATTCTCTGAGTTCAGGTGGCTCAGCAGGTGCACGTGTGTCTGATATCTGGGGACAAGGTTTTGAGGTGACCCGTGTCAGCCCTTCTTGAGCCCCTCACACCAACAACATAGTTTATATGGGTACTGGGAGATGCCCGAGGCCAGCTGAGGAGAGGGCAGATGACTCAGGCTTCAGGTTTTTTCTTTTCTCTGCTGCTGTCCAGAGTCTTTGTACTCTTTTCCATCCAAAGGTGCAATAAGGTAATCTGTTGCCCAGTCCATCTACAAGCAAGACCTGGCTTTCAGAACCAACTCAGTAGTTCAGGATGTTTTTGTGAAGTCAGAGGCAGGAGAAATCCTCTAGGAGTGGGGTAGCCAGAACTCATTTCAGGAAGCAGCTGGGATTCCAAGTGGGATTTAATCAAGCTGGAATCCTGAGTCAGATTTTCGGAGAGGCAGAAGTGAGGCTTTACGGAGGGACCAAGAGCTGAGTGTGAATCAAGAGCTAATTGTGACCCCCTTTCATAAGGACCTAAGGAGGGAGGTGATCGAGCGAATCTAGATTTGCTTTCCCTTTGGAGAGACTGGGCGGAGGCAATGCCCGTCTCCAGCAGACACTCGCCCTGAGTTCTTTGGCTTCTGACACCTGCTTCCCCACCCCATTCTCTCACCATTGTTATGTCACCTCTGACCCCGCCATCCTCTAAATGCAGGATTGCTTTGTGAAGGGAGGAGCACTGCGCCACCCCAGGTGGAGTTAGTAGCAGCTGTGGTCGGTCTGGGACTTGCATATGCAGGACACACAGATTTAAGAAGGGCAACCATGAGAACCGATATAGGAATTAGGTTCTGTGCAGGCCAGGGCCAGAGAAGATTGTAAGGGAAAGCTGCAGGGGGAGGTGAAGAGAGGAGGAGGGTAGCTAGTGGGGTGGGAATACGCTCCGCCCGCAGTGCAACATCGTCTCAGGTTGACCAAACGTATCCACAGCAAGGGATCTGATAGCCAGAGCTATTTTCGCTATTATCACAGCCAGGCCACCTCCCTCCCTGGCTGCTGTCCAGGCAAGCTGGAGGGTACCTCTGCTTCTCCCTGGAGTCAGGCCTAATGGACAGTGTCTCTCCTCCCTTCTCTGGGCCTCCATTTCCTTGTTTGTTAATGTGTAGGGATAGGACTAGGGGATCACTGAGGGCACACTCCCCTGGATCTATGACCATACTGCTGAGGCCAACCCTTGCTGGGTGCAGTCCTGCCCAGAGCACTTGCATTCCCAGGACCTCCTGAATCTGTGCCCCAACCCAGCCTCCGCTCTGTAATGATGGCCTGTGGCCACTAGAGGGGGCCAGGGACTGCTTCCCTGCTCCCAGCAGCTCCTGAGGAGCCAGAGCTAGGACCTGCCCTGCCAGGGCCGGTGTGACAAATAAATCCTTGGCTTGTGCCCTGCAGTGTGTCTTCCTCCAGTGGGTGCACTGCTTCACCCTGGCACTGTGGCCCTGGCACTCCTTTGACTTTTCCCCTTTGTTTTAATCCTAATGTTTGTGGTTTTCTTTCTAGTACGACAGACTTAACCTGATCAAAGTAAGAAGATGTTGGGTTTTTTTTTTCCCTAATTCCTACTAAATGTAGAGCTCCTCTAGTCCCCGCCCTCCCCATGCTCACCCCCATCTTCCAGACTCCCTGAGCCTTTGCACAGGGAGATGTTTTTGAACATGGGGGCAGGAAACCACCTCGAGGTCGGTTTCCAGGGGCCTTGCATTCCCTTAGGTGCTTGCTCTGCAGACCTCTTCTAGGAAAGGCAACAGAATCAGCAGCTTGTCCTCAACTGCTCTGTCTTGTCCTGATGTCTCCTCCCGCATTAGCCAAATCCATTTAATAGCTGTCAGAGAAGCCCTCCCCATCCCTAGTCCTGTGCTTGCCTTCTCTCTGGCCCTGTCCTCTAGGTAGGGCATTACAGTAAACCTACAAAGGCACACAGCCTCACTTGTGCCAGTGGACACCTCTTCTGGGCCCTCCCTGTCAGGCAGTGCCCTCAAGACTCAGTCTGAAGGATGCAAGGTCACCAGATCAAGTTCACCTCCAGGAGGCTGACCAAAGTTCGGGGACACCTGCCCACAGTGGGTAGTCTTAGAGGCTACTGTGGATTTGGCTGGAGGGATGGGGCAGATAAGAAGCTCAGGGGTGACAGGTAAGAAGCCACCCAAAGCTAGTTGGTTAAGGGCAGGACCTCAAAAGTCCTCGCTTTTGATGGTACATTTCACATTTCTTTGCAGTACTTGAGAATACATGTTCTTCTATACCCTTTACAAAAGAGCAAATACCAGATCCAAAGGTATTACAGAACTAGTTAGAGACAGGACACAGGTTCTGTGATTGAGGCTCTTTGTGACTGTGAGGCTTTTTGTTCCAGATGGATTCAGAAGGGAAAAGCGTCTATGTGCTGGTACATGAAAGGCGGAAACTGTTTCCTTTGCCTCCCTGAGACAGGAAGGAGAGCACTGTGTAGGAAGACTCACTAAAGGTCTTGGGTCCCCCTAGCTCAGCCCAAGTTCCTATTGCCGCCTCTCCTCCTCGGGCCTTACACAAAGGCCAGGGCAGTGGGATGAGGAGCTAGGCTGTGGGAGATAAGAGTGTCTCAGCTGTGAAGGAGGTGTCTCGTGACCTGGTCTGGGTTTGTTGAAGCACAAGGAAACCACGGGAAGTTGAGGCTGGCAGCTCCCAGAGCGTACCTCCCTACCACTGGGAAGTGTATTTTAATGAACATCAGCACAGCCTCCTGCCCCATGATCTCAGAGTCAGGGCTGCTGTGTAAGGACCCAGGAAGCAAGACGTCCCAAGGTGCAGATCAGGTGAGCTGCAGCCTGCTGGCAGCGTCTCCCTCCTCCAGTCGTGGGCAGCCTTTGCTGAAATGTTTACTGGTGAGCTTCCAGGTCCAGGATTCCCATGTGGCAGCACCTCCCTCAGAGATGAAGTCGTTGGTTTTGAGTATTTAGATTTGTCCCCTTTACCTGCTGAGACTTCTGGATTGTAGGAGGCAATGAGGCTATGATGGGAAAATATGACTCCAGGTGGGGACATGGTGACAGGCTTTGTTGGGAAACAACCACAGAGAGCACCTTGCAGAGGGGATTGAGAGCCACCATGCCATTGGCCCCGGGCCACATTCGGCAGGTGAGGTTGGGTGTGAGAGTGAGACCATGCAGCCGCAGCCGCAGCCCCAGCCCCACCCGCCCTGCCCCTCAGCTGCCCACCTCCAGCTCCTCTGCTGACTCATTTCACCTTTAGAGCGAAGGCAGAAGGTCTCTACAGAGTTCTTCTGGTGGAACGGGAGAGCCTGGTGACGGGGGAGACAGACAACATGGCCACTAGTCATCACTGAGGTCACACTCACCCACCCTCGGGTACATAGTCACCTCTGCTCCGCCAGACACACGCACAGCAGGCATTTCAAGATCCCTCTTCTGCCTTAGGTGGAGCTGGGGCCCCTTAGCCCCAGTTGGAGGGGATCAAGGCTGCTAATTGTGTGTAGGATCTGCACTTCTATGTGGAGTTAAGGTATGGACCTGCAGGCAAAGTTGCCCTTTGCCTCATGATTGTCCACCTTAATTATACCCTAGGCAACCTTCATAAAACTGAAAATACCCAGCCCCAGTCTAAACCTATTGGATCAGCACCTCAAGGGATGGAGCGTAGGGGTGTGTGTGCATGCACACACCCACGCATGTGTATCTGTCTGTCCATCCTCCAAGTGGGATGTGCATAAAGAACCTCTGGCCATAGAGATTGGAGACAGACAAGACACAGTCTTAGCTATCCCTCTTCCTTCTCAGAAACATTCAGATCCCATTCTTCCAGGGGTTGGGGATGGAGAACATCTAAATTCTGGAGCTGGGGCAGGGTCTGGTTTTGCTGGAACTGAATTCTGGCACCGCAGGGTTGGAAAGGACCCTGAGAGGTGATCTGCTTTAATGTCCCTCCTGATGCAGAACCCCCACCCCCTGCCACTGTAGCTCAGGCGAGCATCCAGTTGCTGGGACAGAAGGAACAATTGACTCATCTGCTCCCTGAGAGCATGCTTGGAGGGTGTTTTTACGCAGTCCCTTTTCTTCCTCTATCACCAAAGTGTCCCACCCTGCCTTCTACAGAAGGACTGACTTGGAGCAGAAGGCTGGGTTGGTCTTCGTCTGTACTTGGCTTCTGGTCAGGGCCCACCTGGGGACTGGGTCTTGGATGCCCGCGGCGCATCCCTCCCCCCATCAGAAGGACCTTGTGATGGGGCTCCACCTCCCTTCTGGTTGAGCGCTAGCTGGTGCTGCTGCTGCCTGCCACCCCAGCCGCGGGGGGCTTCCAGCATGGACTGCTCCCTGGGCCTCCTTTCTGGAGCTGTCTTGAGAAAGGAGGCCCCCTCGTGAGCAGCGACATGGGAAGCATTCAGCTGCATCTGGACTCCTCCTCCCTACCCACCCTGTGCTGTCTGTGTGACCTTCCCTCTGGAGCCAGCAATCCTCTGGCCATTAGGTGCTGCTGCTGCCTGCCACCCCAGCCGCGGGGGGCTTCCAGCATGGACTGCTCCCTGGGCTTCCTTTCTGGAGCTGTCTTGAGAAAGGAGGCCCCCTCGTGAGCAGCGACATGGGAAGCATTCAGCTGCATCTGGACTCCTCCTCCCTGCCCACCCTGTGCTGTCTGTGTGACCTTCCCTCTGGAGCCAGCAATCCTCTGGCCATTCCCAGCATCCCTTCCCTGACTAATTTTACCTTCTCTTATTTTGTCCTTCCAGAAAAGCCAGAGTTGGTATAATGTAAGTATTCCTGTTTCTCTTCTTGTTGGGTACAAGTGAAGTGGGTGGGGGTGGAGGTGGCGGAGGAAGGGGAGGCGTGGAGTACAGTCTGGTCCCCCCTCAGGCTTTTCCCCTTACCAGCCCCCTTCGTGGAAACCAGCTACGATTCTGTCACAGGACAGGATGGCCCTAGGGAAGGCCGGTTTGATTAGGGGACACCAAGGAGGGATGGCCTACCTTGTCCCCTACCTCACCTGGACTCCCGGACAAGGCTCTTCTGATCCTAAAGGAGGAGATTGGGCAGGGGAGTGGCCATTCCAAGGCCAGACAGAATTTCAGGAAGGGGCGGCCTTGGGGTTTGAACTTAGTTTTCTCTTAAACAAGACATTTTGGGAGAAATGCAGCCAGAAAACTTTCCCCCATCTGTAGAGAAGCTGTCCCATGTGATGGATTTTGACTTCTGCCCAAAGTACCCCCTCAATAGCTGCAGCAGCATGCTCCTTCCAGAATACATCTGCTGCCCCTAGGTCTATGGAGAAGGGGTAGCCGGGGCCATTTCATAGGTTATCCATGGGGTGTTTTGTGTTTGGGGTGCTTTGTGGGGTAAGCAGTTCCTGCCCAGGCCACAGCCTCTAGGCCACATGGGCTGGGTGGTGAGATTTTGAACTTCTCCCTGAAGGGCAGCTGGCTGTCTCAGCCAGCCCCTGCCCTCTGGGACTGCACGGTGGAAGGTGGTTTGTAGCCCTGGCCTAGCCTCAGACTGTCCTTCCTTCTCTGAGCCCACCTGTCTTCACCCTTGACTGATTGATCACGCCAGTGCCACCTTCTGCTCCCCGCAACACCAGCTTCTGTCAGGAAGGTGGCTGTGCGTGGCAGAGTTGAGAGGGCACTCTGGTTAAGGGGAGGCAGGCTGGGGAGAGGCTGGGTTTAACGTGGGGATGTGCGTCCAAGTCACTTGGGTGGGCTGTGTGTGTGTTTTCCTACATGGTGCTCTGTGGTAAGGTCAGCATGTGCAAATTAACCCTGTGGCTTCCGGTCTCCTGCTGCTTGGTGGCCAGGCCTATCCAGGGGGCTGCAGATTGATCTGCCAGCCTTAGCCCTGCCCAGTACCCTATACAAGGCAGAAGTTGATGGGCTGTGTGGGTGAGAGTGGAGTTGGGGGCTCAGACGGCCTGGGGTGGGAGAGAAGCCAGGCTCCACCCCTCCCCCTTGACCCACCATGGGGGTCACCTGGCCTCCTGGCGTCCCCAGAGCTCACGTCCTGGGGGAGAGAGAAGTGGGTGTGTGGGCTCTGCTTCCGGGAAGCTGCCCCAGCCACGCTGTCCTGGGGACTGCAGCGTCTTTGCCCAGAATCCCTTCCACCCTTTTGAGCGGCTCTGCACAAATTAGTGCCTGCAATGGTGCCCAGGAAAGCGCGGCAGCAGGCCTGGTAGACAAGTAAGCGGCCCCTTTTGGGCATGGAGGTTCTCTTCCTCTCATCTTCCCATTCCTCTCTTTTTGTTGCTCTTTAGCTCAGGCTTTTCTGTTTTGTCTCAGTTTTCCCTTGCTCGTATTCTTCTCTATGCTTTGCTCTCTGATACCCCCTCTCTTTTATATTTCTCCCCCTCCATTTTCTTCTCCTTTCTCTGGTTTTCATTCTCGCACCTGGCTTTCTCCTCTCTGATTGTAACAGGTTTTGCTTTCTCTCTCTCCTTTTCTTCTTCCCTCATCCTCTCAGCCCTGATTTCTTCTCCCTCACCCCACACCTAAGAGCTGGTGTCTGAGCACCAAACGTAGTGACAGGCCAGAAGCAGATGCTGCCTCCTGCCTGAAGCATGGGGCTGGGCCAGCTACCATCTGGGGGTCCAGAAGTTGGGGATTGCAATGACAGATGTGCCAGGCAGTGAAGGAGCCAGGCATGACCAGAGCCCTGGTTCCTGACTGCTCCTACCTTCAAATCATCCTTCAGGATGCCTCGTTTCCCGGTCCTGTCCCTCCTCTCACCCCTTACTAACCCTAGGCCATCTCCTTTTATCCTCCCCCCCTTACCCCAGATGAATTACAGAAACATCTTGACTCTCCATTCAGCTCAGATCACTAGTTCTCAGAGGCCAAGCGCACAAGGGGCTCTTGGCTGAGGAGCGTTTAGTGGGCTCCCCACCTCCTGGGCTCCTGCTCTCACACTGGGGTTCTTCCAGGAACTCAGTGGTGCAGACATCATCGGACATATCTACAAATGTCTTCCCACTGTCCCCTCTTCCTCTGCCACTGGATGTGGGGTCTCCAGGCAGCCCTTTTCTCTGCCTGCTACGTGGCTCCTGGTGTCTACCTTCCAGCCCGGCACAGTCCTCTTACTGGTCCTGCTGAACATTCACTGTGGACGTCCCGACTCAGGGTTGGTGCAGGGAGCAGGACAGAACAAACGTGGACGAGGGAGGTAGAGATGGCAGGTGGACACTGGAAAGAAGAGGCAGAGGCTGAGAGGTGGCAAGGGGCCTGCAGTCACCTGAACCACAGGTGGCAGGAACTGCGCCTGGGATTTCTCACATTTCCTCCGTGTGTTTCCAGCATGAGAAGCAGCACATCTGGAGGATGATCAGCAGCTGCCGTAGTAGCCAGTTGAAAGTAGCACCGAGAATGGGCTGCTCGGAAGGGAGCCCCCCGTTAGAACCCTGCCTCTTCCTGGGGCCGTGACAGACGCCCTGGCTTGGAGTTTTTCCACTGTTGGTATCTGTGAAGGAAGCAAGATGCTGCCTGTCCCACACTGTAGCAGCTGATCCCCGTACGTCTGCTTCGATAGCTCCAACGCACTTACCTGTGCACGATGGCCTGGGCTCGGCTGTGCTCCTGGGCACAGTTGCCTGACTAGAACAGGAAGCCACAACCAGGTGTTTCCCCAGAGCCACCTGCGCCCTTGGGTGGCCAGACACCTGCTCCGTCAGTGTGCTGAGCACGTGTCTGTGCTGTCCTGTTCGGATGCTTCATCAGAAAATTCACCCGAAAAACCCCAGTCCCCAGCACCCCGCACCCGAGGATCCATTTACATTTCTTCAAGAGGCCCTTGCTGTACCCCTGTTGCTTCCACCTGGTTTTCCGTTTTCCCCCAGCCTGCTTAGTCCTACTGCCTTACATCTGCACTGCCCTGGGCTGGTTGGAGTCTGACCTGCAGGAAGCCTCTCTGTGTGGCTCCTCAGCTCTGCTGACAGCCGTCTTTATAATCTCTCTCCAGCTATTCTGGTTCCTGAGGCTCCACCATTGCACTAGCAGTCCTTCAGATAGGAAAAGGCCTTGTCATCCCCAGCCCTGGGGCAGGTTAGAAACCCCTGGCTGGGTTCAGAGCAGTGAGGCGAGTGCTCTGAGCATTGCTGACCACACTGAGAGCACCTCAGGCCCCTGGAGCAACCTGGCTCTGCTGTGAGACGAAGCCCCCCCGCCACCTCCCTGCCCACGCTCCAGCCTCCTTCACCCGCCATCGGTTTGCTGTAGACAAAAGCATTTTGCTTTTACAGGGTTAGCCAGGGAGGAGTTGTCACCACTGTGACGAACCACTTAGTGTAAAGAGCGGGTCACATGGAGGGAAGTGGCTGGACCCCAGGGACACATAGAAGGGCGGTGGCGGGTGAGTTTCAGGTCAAGAGTGGGTTGGAGGCCAGGCCATCTACAGCTGCCCTGTGTCCCTTGCAGGCCCAATTACACCTGCTCCCCCTACCCTAACTCCAGTTTGCCACCCGATTTTATGCATGGTGGTTTCCAGCTCAGGAGACACAGCCCAGAGATGGAAGGGTAGGTAGAAACCAGCTTTGCCTTCAGCAGGGGCCAAGGATAGAGGTGGGACCTCCTTGTCAGGGCCCATGGGGCAAGAGGGTACAATCTGCCCCCAAAGATGGCCCCTCCTGGGCGTAGTGGGCTTGTCTCGGGTGAAGCACAGGGTCACAGAGGTCCTCTTCCTGTGCCGCAGGTGCCTCCTCCGTCTCTTCTCTGTGGCTCAGTCATCTCCATAGCAACCCAGGGAAGGGGCATTTCTGAGATCAGAGGACAGAAGCCCAGACCCCAGCAGGTGCCAGAACTTAGCAGCCAAGTTGCATGATACCCCGTCTCCATTAGGAGTGCCAGCTTTATGGAGGGGAGGAAGGGACAATGCGAAACCTCTGGAATGACCAAGAGCAAAAGAACAAAATTTTATAGGAACAGAACTCAGGGTGTTGGGGGGGCAGTGAGGAAAGTGGGAGAGCCGAAAGGGGAGCTGCTGATGACAGCAAGCCTGGCAGCCTGGTGTCTTCCCCAGAGGCCGTCTCAGCTTCCTCTGCCTCCTCTGCCTCTGTCCACCTCCCTTCTGTATTCACCATTGACTTGAAGAGTCTTCCTGACCCCTGCTCCCTGACCCCGTCCTGAACTTTCTCCAGAGTGGTCCCTCCTCTCCAAATGAGACTCTACTCCCAACCCCATTCCTTCTTCCACCCTCCTGCGCTGCACCCGTACCTGCCCTCAGTCTCTCAGTCACTCCCTCTGTGTCCCACATTGGGCTTCCACGTACCCGGATTTGGCTGGAGGACCAGAGTTTGTCTTGCAGATCTTAACAGCTTTCTTCCTAGGTGAGGTCCGGGCTGCACCAAAACCTGTATTTCTTTCCTGGGCTCCTCCGCCCCCTCCTTCCTGCTGCACCTGGGAAGGGGGTACCACTTGGTCCCAGCTCCCTGTGTTTGCCATAGAGTTAATGTTTAGCCCAGGGCCAACTTGCTCTCCCCAGGATCCTGCCCTGCCCCACCCAGCCATTGGTGAGGGGGTGGAGGAGACAGGCTGGTACAGGCTGAGACTCATCTCCCAGGGGGTTACCCTCAGGGTGTGTCCTGGCCCTTTATCACCCCTTACAGCCCACATAGTCATCTGGCCTGTAGCAATACTCAAATGCTCCCAGGGAATTACCATAAGGATCCAGAGCCTCATGGATCTATCTACTGCCTAGATCTTTAGGTCCTGTGTGGCCCTGAAGAGAGGCATTCCAGTCACCCTGGAAAATGGGATGGCTGCGTTGGCCTAACGCA